AAAGTATAAAAGGTATAAAGAAAGTTTTTTCATTAAGAAAAAAAGGAGCTGAAATATGATGGCAAACTAAGAGGCAAATAATAGGATTAAAACTTAATGGTTATAAAAAGATTGTAAAAATCTTATAGAAAACAAATTTTCTGCATAGTCAAGCTGCTTAAATTGGATAGGTGTGTTTGTAAGTTTTTATTTTGAAGCATCAATAATGTACTGATACAAAGTTAGAATTTGCTCTTCTATTAAAAGCTGAAGGCTTTTTTTTACTTTACTATGTCTTTCATGGGTTAATGTCTTCATGGACCCACTGTAAATAAAAAAATTTCATTTAGTACTTTTAACATACCAAGCATCAGAGCTTATATAGCTTAGATAGCATACCTTAAATGTACTTTTTATTTTAGCCTATAATTTGGCAAAATAGATGAACAAAAGGCCTATTCAACAGTAAAGTATTAAATATTTCATGTAATTTGCTGAATGCTACATTAAGTCAAGAGAAGGATGGTTGTACAACTGTGCTTTCACACTGTTGGAACCGTCATATGTCAGGGACCATATGTCTTTTAAAAACCAAAGTCACAATACTAAAAGATCTGGTGGCTCAAGCCTATAATCCTAGCTACCCAGGAGGCTGAGATCTGAGGATGGAGGTTCAAAGACAGCCCAGGCAGAAGTCCGGGTGTGACGCTTATCTCCAATATACTACTCAAAAAAAAAAAAACCTGCTGTGGCTCAAAGGCTGTAGAGCACTATCTTTAAGCAAAAGAACTCAGATAGGACCCAGGCCCTGAGTTCAAGCCCACAACCCATCAAGAAACAAAGAAAATCTTTAACTCATTCATGTAGTAAGTATAACTATTCTTGTTTTTTAATTGGATTAGTGTAATTGTTTATATATATGTGGTACCGTATGGCTGGTCAGATCAGAGTAATTGGCATATCTATTATCTTGGACATTTATCATTCTTTGTTTTGGGAAATATTTAAAATCTTTTTTCATGATAACTAAATATACTGAGTTCATATCTCATTGTGGTTTTTATATGCTTTTTTTGTAATGAGTTTAATGATGTTTGGCTTAAAAAAGAAATTGGTGGTGTTGGCCATTTGTGTATCTTCTTTTAAGAAATGTCTACTTGTCTTTTTTTTTTGGCAGTTGTTTAGGTTCTTTACAACTTTGAGATTTTAATAACTTCTCAGATAAATAGTTCAAAATTTTCTTGCCTTTAGGTTGTCTGTTCTGTCTCCTTTGAATCTAGAAGCTCTAGTTCCATGTAATCCCATTTGTCAACTTATATATTTTGTGTGTTTCTCAGAATTAAATACATGGCAATGAATAAATGGATTTTCAAGGAGTACTGTTTGAAATATTATTGACTTCTGATTGTTTTTTTAACTTAAAAAAGTCTTCTGTTTCTTTATAGTTTCAGTAAGTTCTTTATAACTTTGAAAGCAAGATGAAAACCTTTTTTCTTCCTGCCTAAACACTCTAAAATACAGATACGATTACTGGGTATTGTAATTTTCATGATGATAGTTATCTGCTTAAGTTCAATAAGAATCTGTTCTTGCCTAGTGACAGTGGCTCATACCTGTAATCATTGCTACTCAGGAGGCTGAGATCTGAGGATCTTGGTTCAAAAGCTATCCAAGTCAGGAAAGCCCATGAGATCCTCATCTCCAATTACCTACCAAAAAAGCCAGAAGTAGAGCTGTGGCCCTAGTGGAAGAATGCTAGCCTTGAGCAAAAGAAGCTCACAACAGCACCCAGACTGTCAGTTCAAGAACAGGAATGGTACCAAAAAATAAAAAAAATTAAAAAAAAAGAATCTGTTCTTATAATAGGAACAAGCGGAAACTTTTGTTGTGTTGCCAAAGTTTTGACTAGAGTGGCTTATTTTGCTTTTTTTTTTTTTTTGGGTCCGGTTGTGAGGCCTGAACTCTGGGCCTGGACGCTGTCCTTCAGCTCTTCAGCTCAAGGCTAGCACTCTACCACTTGAGCCACAGCGCCACTTCTGGTTTTTTTCTTTTTTGCTTATGTGGTGCTGAGGAATCGAACCCAGGGCCTCATGCATGCAAGGCAAGCACTCTACCACTGAGCCACCTTCCCAGCCCGCTTTTGCTTTTTTTTGAGGGGAGAGGTGCTGATTCTGAGGGTTGAACTTAGGGTCGGGGTCTCATACTTTTGGTGGTCATGGGGCTTGAACTCAGGGCTTGGGTGCTTTGCTCAGGCTAGTGCTCTACCATTTTAGTCACAGCTCCATTTCCCATTTTCTGGTGGCTAATTGGAGATAAGACTCTCATGGATTTTCTTGCCTGGTCTGGCTTTGAACCATGATCCTTAGATCTCTGTCTTCTGAGTAGCTAGTATTACAGGAGTGAGCCCCCAACACCCAACAGGATCCCATATTCTTGCTTAATGGTGCTCTACTTGAGTCATACCTCCACTTCTAGAAAACCTTGGGATAATAATAGCTTGGTACCTAGCTTACAATTTTCTTAATCTTAAAACTGGATAAAGAAGGTCATGTTTTGGCAAGCACAGGAAGCTCTGGATGCCTTGAGGATTTAGAAGAGAAGAATTCATTCAACATTGTAGTTATTCCAGTGAGTGGACACTATACCACTGGAAAAGTCTTCTTGAAAGTTCTTGGCTTGCTTAAGAACTTGGTTTCTTATCCTTGAGAAGGTTTTTAAAAGTTTAATCTATTATTCTTCACCAAAAGTTCCAGGAAAGCAAACTTTAAAATGCTTGTGTGGTCAGTTGCCACTATTGCTATGTTTACATAATAACCAGGGCTAAAGTAATGAGAGCACATTTAGGAATGAAAAGGGAGGAAGGAATGTGGCTTACTGGTACGAGTGCTTGCCTAGCATGCATGAAGCCTTAGGTTTGATTCTTCAGTACCACATAAACAGAAAAAGCCAGAAGTGGTGCTGTGGCTTTAACGGTGGAGTGCTAGCCTTGAGCACAAAGAAGCTCAGGGACAGTGCCCAGGCCCTGAGTTTGAGACTCAGGACTGGGAGAAAAACAAAAAGAATGAAAAGGGAGAATATAAATTCTTTTTTCCCAATAGTGGAAAATACTATATACACTATAGTGTATATGCATTTAGATTTTAGTGCTATTCATTATCTGTGAGGTCTGTTAGACTCCTGTAAACTGCAATGTAGCTAATACCAGGTTGTAAGTCTTGGGCTCTAATTTTTCTCCCAACTTCATGACTTGACATCACTGAGAAAAAAAACACCTGTCACTTTCCCAAATCCTATAAACTGAAGCTGGAAAATTTTACATAAAATTCAAAGAAATAATCATAACAGATTAAATAAGTGCATACACACAAGCTATTATGATTATGATTATTTTTTATTATTATGATTATTTTTTTAAAAAGGTTGGCCTTCTACTATTTGAGTCACAGCTCTACTTCTGGATTTTGGGTAAGAAGAGTTACATAATTGGAGAAAAGAGTCTCACTAACTGTCTGGTCTGGCTTCAAACTGGGATTCTCAGATCTCAGCCTCTGAAGTAGCTAGGTTAATAGGCATGAGCCACAGGTACCTAACATATATCATCATCATCATCATCATCATCATCATCATCATCATCATCATCATTATTTTTGTCAGCCGTGGGGCCTGAACTCTGGGCCTGAGCACTGTCCCTGAGCTCTTCAGTTCAAGGTGAGTGCTCTACCTCTTGAGCCATAGCACCACTTCGGGGTTTTTTCTGCTTATGTGGTACTGAGGAATTGAACCCATACATGCAAGGCAAGCACTCTACCACTGAGCCACCTTCCCAGCCCTATCACCATTATTTTTAACTGTAAACTCCTACATATCAGGGAAATATAGTACAATGTATACCTGTTGAAAATCACTGAATCCTAAAAAAATCAGTAGTCAGGCTATGAAAAATATTATAGGTTGGGTTAGTTCAACACTCTCAACTTCTTACTTCATTCTGCTTCCTTTTTATTACTATTAAAACTTTTCTTTTAAGTTAGGTAATCTCTTTAAAAATAACTATAACAAATATTCTTACTATCTTATAAAATTAAAATTATTTCATAAAAGTAGATATTTTTCCTGCAAAATATTGAAAATGAAAAACAGAGAAAATGTATTCAAAATTTCTCAGAATGAACAAGCTCAGTGAAAAGATATGATATGCACTATATAAGATCCTGCAATATTCTTGCAGGTTTATTTGTTTGAACTACATTATACTGTCTATATTCAAATATTTTTAAAATTTTACTCATAAAATGCAATTTTATAGAGGTTAATCTCACATTTCCTTAACTATATTTAATAAGAGAGAATATATACTTTTATTACTCTTAATCATATTGTAAATTTTCATCCTCTGTCAGTTAAGATATCCAAGAAATGATGTAGAAGTCAACTATAGCAAACAAAAAAGTCACTCATATTAAAAAAAATAAGGTTCTGGAGCTTGGGAAACTTACACTTTGTCTCTGGTTTAATCTCTGATTCTCTTCTTGTCTCTTCCATTCTGTTGAAAAGGCTAGCTTATGGGCCATGTAAACTTTCTTACCAACTTTACATATACAATTCAAAAATGTTTGGTCTTTTGATGGGCAGAGTGGCTCACACCAATAATCCCAGTTATTCAGGAAGATGACAGCTTAAGGCCAGCTTTGACAAAAAGTGAGAGCCTCATCTCAACAAAGAAGCCAGGACTGATGGCTCATCCCAGCTAGTCAGGAGCAGAGGCAGGGGGTTTATATTCCAAGACTAGCAGAAAAATAAGTAGGGGGGCTTCAGGGTGGTTCAAGTGGTAGAGTACCTACTTAACACTGAGTTCTAACCACAAAAATAAAAACAATGTGACTTAAATAACACCTTTGACATTTTATTTTTGAATGTTTTCAAGTGAATGACATATAATACAAATTATATAAACCTGAAGGATATAGCACATGTATTTTAGTATTTTTTTTTTTTAGTATGCCCTTTCTTTTTTAATCAGGGAAGAAAGTGAGTGAACCTAGTCCCCAACTACAAAAAATTATGCAGCTGAGTTTTCTATATTTCGAGAAATTGCAAGGGTCAGTGCATCCCAAGTTCGAAGGACAGACTTGTCCTGGGAAAACCACCTTTATGATCATGAGATTCCTTTTGTTAGGTATTACTTTTTATTTTCAATTTAAAATGAATAAAATGTAAGCAACCCCCCCCTTTCCAAACAAAGTAGAATTGCTTTAATATTATTATAGCAAAATTATTCAATCTATGGAATATATTTCTATTAAATTAAATGAGTTTGATAAATAATGATATCTATTGGCAACAGTTATTAAAATCAGAAGTATGGAGAGAATATTGTCCCTAGGTAGATTCAAAAGGGAGGTAGCTGATGGAGGAGGAATACATTCTGCATTGCTCAAAGAGGAAATAATTGGTTTTACTAGAAGGACATGGCCAGGAGGCAGTGACCAGCTTAGGACTTCTTAGCACTAGTAACAAATCTCAAACCCAAGTAAAATCATCAGCATTTTCCCACTTCTGGATTACTCTTCATGCCACAGGAAATGATTTTATTCTCAGTACAAATCCAACCATAACACTTGCCAATTACAAAACTTTAACAGCTTTATATTACTATTGAACTTAACATAAAAATCCCTTCATATGGTCTCGAAGAGGTAATATGATCCTATCCTTCTCCAGTTAGTTTACCTTCTAGATATGCTGTCCCTTCCATCTCTGCTGTTACCTCTACCTGCCTTCCTTCTGCTCTGCCTTCTGCCTAAAATGCTTTCTTTCTCTCTTAACTTTGTGAAGTCACAAGCTATCACCAATTACCTACGAGACATTAGGGTTTATTGCTTTACTAGGCTGTGGATGAACTATTACCCATGGATATATAATTGAGGCAATTGTTCTATTAGGTGTCCTGTTTCTCTGTCACCAGCAACAGGACCAAATCATTACAATTTCATCAGAAAACAAATTTATTTAAACATAGCAGCAGCTTACAGCATTATTCAGGATGCTACTGAGGACGGCTTTGAAGGGCTTTCCAACCAGAAAAGGAGCCCAAAGTATGCAGCATTACTGTGTGGAAGCCGCAGGACGGATGCTGACAACAGAACTTTCCCCTCAATGTGGAAACCAGAAGTGGTGTAACTACGTACTTCAGAGATGAAGACTCCGGAAGTGGACCCCACATTCTCTCTTTTCATCACTTGGTTTTACTTCACAGGTGTCTAGGTGTCAGACAGTCAGAATCTGGCTTATGGACTCATGCCCAATGTGAGAGGGAGGCTAAGAAAGTAAACTGGCATTTTATGCCTCCACACTAGGTATTTTCTCTGATTTAAAAGCACAAAAGGAAGGCTCTAATATAACAACAAATAAACACTCACTAGATTAGGAGCAAAGACAAAGTTGAGAATATCTTTCTGTTCTATTCCTTTATTGCTTGCTTGCTTGCTTTTGTTAAACAAGGTTTTGTCAGGCAAAGCGAAAGAAAGTGATAGGGAGCACGCCACACGCAGGTCAATAACAATCGTTCTTAAGCAGCTTTAGAATCAACTGAGGAGCTACAGAACTAAAAAGGAAGACAGAAATGTAAAGGTCTGGATTCAATAGGTGTACATTAAGTCTCTGGCATTTCACATTATTATTATGATATTTTTACAATAACTTTGTTAAATATTTGTAAAAGCAAAATCATTGATATGTGGAATAAATGTGCTATCTGGAGAAAACAGAAAACAGAGCCCTGCAGACGGTTCTGAAAATGGGAACAATATAACAGAGAAGCCTATTTACCCTGCATGTGGGTAAAGTACAATATAATACTTCAGTGATACCATAGGAAATCACTGGGTATCAGTTAGTAAACAATATAGAAAAATATCTCTCAAGGAAATGGAATAAAACTCAACTTTTTACATAATCAAACAATAGATGGAGAGAGTTATCTTGGGTAAGTTAAAATGTCCGATTAGTGGTCAAGGGAGATTGGAGGGAAGAAGTGAAGTCGCAAGGAAGAGGAGAGTGCAACTCCAACTTAATTCTTTAAACACAGCACAAACCAATTTAGCTCACCGGCTAAAGGAAGCTCTGAGAAGAATGTGGAGGCCTGTCCTGGCTTAGCCTAGGTTAACTGAAGGATCATCTCCTTTCACTGTCACAGTGAATTTGAAGGTAGTAATAAAACAACTGAGGAAGGCGTGACAGAATTGCTTATTCCCCTTCTTTTTTATGTGACCTAAAAATCATCAGGTATCTGCACAGGTGAACTTAAGTTGGATTGTGCCTATTGATACAAGTTGGCTTTAAGGATACACACATATTATTAATATTTGAGGATGCTGTAATTCACTGACATATAGTATACAAAGTGGTTTATGGCATCATGATGCTGACTTAATATATTGATAACCTATAAATCACACAGTAAAAAGGTTCTTCTCAGAAGAAGAAAGATGGGATACTGTCCAAAAGTTAATAGCTCTGATTTATGTCTGGAATAAACAGAGTAAAGAGCTCTCCAACAAAATAACATTAAGTAGCAAAACTTATAAAAACAAAGTCTAAACTTTCTGGTAATTATCTTAAAGGTACCCAACAAAAGTAGAACCTTTTTTTTTTTTTTGGGTCCGGTCGTGGGGCCTGAACTCTGGGCCTGGGCGCTGTCCCTCAGCTCTTCAGCTCAAGGCTAGCACTCTACCACTTGAGCTACAGCGCCACTTCCGGCTTTTTTTTCTTTTTGCTTATGTGGTGCTGAGGAATCGAATCCAGGGCCTCATGCATGCAAGGCAACGGAATCGAACCCAGGGCCTCATGCATGCAAGGCAAGTGCTCTATCACTGAGCCACCTTCCCAGCCCCAAAAGTAGAACCTTTTATGCAAGACCTAGCTGTTGAAAAAAGAAGAGTCAACAGCACATAAATAAGTCTTCCCTCCTTTTCCCAGTTTACTAGCTGAAAAAAACAGAAGCCATATGGAAGGAGAGGAAGACTGTCTCCACAGCTCTCAGCCAAGTGTGGGATATCTCCTAGGGAGAGGGCAACTATCAACAGTCCTTCTAATTCTAGCCATGTATTTCAGAGGTATGGAAGGGAGGTTAGGGGCTCCCTTTCTGCTCTGACAGCAGGAGTTCTACTCTAGGTTGAGAATAGGATGAGAATACTGGGGCCCAGATCATCTTTGCTAAGCTCACTCTTAGGGAAGAGGTTTTGTGGAAGATGTAAACCTAGATTAGATGATACTATCCTTTTACTGCCCTGCTTATAAAATCAGGGTGTCACTCCAAGAGGACCACTGTTACTTCCCTTAGCTTCAGAGAAGTGGCTTAGATAATTTGCTCAGAGGAAAAGAAAGGAAAGCTACAAGAACAGAAAGCTCCAAAGCTCTTTTCAAAATAACTGACTTTATTTAGAATACAGTGTAAAATGCACAATCCAGTCCTGTGGGACACACGTGCATATCTAGCACTCAGGAAAACAGGTAGGAAGACTACAAATTCAAAGCCTCAGAGTGAGTTCGAAGCCAGGGGCTTAGACTAGAAAATGAGACCTTGCTTCAATAAACAATAAACAATAAGAAAAAAAAAGAAAGATAACAAAGCATAAGCCATATGTGCTCTTTTTTTAAAAAAAGGTACTTTTCTTGTAAATAAATAAGAGGAGGAGATTACATACATGAGAGAAACAGATATCAGTGAGCAACAGGAAATGAATGGATATTAGTTATTGAACAAAAGAGAAAAAATAGCCCCAGGGAAATGAGAGTATTTACCAGAGAGAACCAAAGAGAGATAAGAAGAGTCCTTCTGAGGTCTGAAAAAACTTCAAAGCATGGCCTTTGTAAATATACTCTTGTAAAAGGTCTAGAATTTAATTGGTACAAACTGTTGCAAAATGTATACCAAGGGCTCATTACTGAAAACAATAGTCTAGCAACTACTAGAACCTAACAGATGGGTGATCAATAGAGGCAAAGGTATAACACCAGAAAGAGTCAAAAGTGCTGCCGTAGCTATTATTAGCCCAGAGTGACTATGTGAGAAGGCAAAGTTGTGTGCTTTGGGGATGGGAGGGGAAGGAGTGTAGTTGTGGAGGTGGAGGGAAGGGATGGTAGGGGAAAAGCAAAGGAGGAGGTAACAATGCTTGATAGGAAATGTACTCATTATCTTGCTCATGTAACTATAACCCCTCTATACAGTATTTTTACAATAAAAAACATTTTAAAAAAGTAACATGGAAAGTGGCAACACAGCTGGGAAAACAGACTTGATTACAAGGCTGAGCCAAATCATTAAACAAAGAGGCAGCTAACAAGTTCCAGGGGAAAGTACTAGGGCTAGAGTTACTAGATTCTACTATCTCACAGTCTGTGTACCTTGAGCAAGCCTTTCCCTGTGAACAGAAACATTTTAAAGAAGTAACTGTGTTTGGTTCTCATTTTAGAAGTTTCAGTCCAAGGTCAACTGGATCTATTGTTTTTAGCCTAAGGCAAGACAGAATACCTGATGGCAGAGGTTGCTTATTATGGTCATAAAGTAAAGAGGAGTAACAAGACACAGCCTTCAAAGGGCCATCTCCAGAACCCACTTCCGCCTACGCACCATTATTGGATTAAACCATTGATTAAGTTACAGTTATCAAGATGGAATTATCTCTTGAACGCCCTCATAGACACACCAAGAGGTGTGCTTTACTAATCTCCTAAGTATATTGCAATCCTTCAATCTGATGAGGTTGACAATCAAAATTAGCCATACCAATCCAAATTTCAACAGAACATTACAAAAATGCAAAGAAACAATAAAGTATGGGGGGGGGGTGTTGAGGAGGTGGGAGGGACTGGATGGTAGGGGAAAAACAAAGGAGGATGCAACAATAAGAAATGTATAAGAATAGATAAGAAATGTACTCATTACCTTACTCATGTAACTGTAACCCCTCTGAACAGTATTTTCACAATAAAAAACTTATTTTAAAAAATAAAGTATTATATATCAATGATAAAAAAGTAAGAGTCTGTGTGCCCAAACTATACAGGAGATGGACTATATATATTAAAAGAACTAAATATATTAAAAGAACTAAAGGAAATTATGCTAAAAGAACAAAAGTAAAATATAATTACAGTGCTTCAAAAGGTATAGAATGTTAATA